AATAATAGTAATGAAAAGGGAGATAACAAGAAGAGAGCGAGGAATAAAACCCGAGAAAGACAAGTGATGCACAACACAATTGCTCACCACCCACTGACCACATCCCCGAGCAGCAACCGGCCCCTCCCAGCCAACTCCCCCAGTTTCTATACTGCGCATGATGTTCTACGGTATGGAATATCCCTTTGGCCGGTTGGGGTCCGCTGTCCTGGCGGTGCTCCCTCCCAGCTCCTTGTGCATCTCCTTGCTGTCAGAGCAGCTAAAACATCAGTGTGTTATCAACATTATTCTCATACTAAATCCAAAACACAGCACTGTACCAGCTACTAGGAAGAAAATTAACTCTATCCCAGCTGAAACCAGGACAAGTATTTTGCAGGCAGGTACATAGATTGATCCCTTGCATTGCTCACAGTTCTATTTATTATTTTATTTTGCAGTTCTTTCCATATGGAGATGCTTCAAAGTTTGCCCAGCATGCCTTCCGAACCTTTGATAAAAACGGAGATGGGACCATCGACTTCAGAGAGTTCATTTGTGCACTGTCCATCACCTCACGAGGCAGTTTTGAGCAAAAGTTAAACTGGGCCTTCAACATGTATGACTTGGATGGTGATGGTAAAATTACAAGAGTGGAAATGCTGGAAATTATAGAGGTGAGATCAATATGACACTTAAAATAACATGTCTAAACATTAACAAAATTTGATTACTTGTTCACATACCCTTTAGATTTTAAGTACACAAGAGGCTGTACTGGATCATTAAAAGTGTACATTACATACATTCATCCTATACTGCCTCACATCTAATTAGATTTAATCTTTGAGAATTGCAGAAAGCACATATGTGCATATAAGCTTTTAAATATCCAGAGGTATTTTTTTTTCCCCAATGAACGGATTAACCATAAGAACAGCACAGCAAAGGATTTACAAAGCCCATCTTAAAATCACTTGACACCCATGAAATTACTGGTTTGTAGCTCAAGTAGCTGAAACCTTCCTGGAGATTGACTTTAGACGATTACAGAAATTGCCAGGGATAACACCATACTATTTTAAGTGAGCCCTCACAGATGGGCTTTAAGATGACCACAGCATATCACAGGAAGGATCAAGTTTACTGCCCTCATCATCTGCCAGCTACTCGCCACAGTAGTTAATACCAGATTTTGCTCACATGTACAAATGGAAAGCTATTAAAAGGTGATGACTTCTAAAACTGATTATTCAGACTTTATGTGAAATATTTCAATGAAGTGACTAAAAGCCAAATAAGCAGTTAATCCAGAGAATAGGTTACAACGGTTTTGCACTGTGAAACAGAAAGCCAAAGAAATTTATTCCAGGATGCAAAATGCAACCATGGAAATAAATCTACATCTAAAGAAAGTAAAACACATTATTCCTTGTTTTAAGTATATGGTCATCAGATTCTAAGAAAAAAAGAAAAATATATCTTTTTGAAACTAGCAAACATGTTATTGTTGGAGTATCTTCCCAGAATTTGATCACATTAAAAAAAATCAGGTTAATTTGTATGTTGAGTTTTCCATTTGGTTCCTTTCCAAAGGCCATCTACAAAATGGTGGGCACTGTGATAATGATGAAAATGAATGAGGATGGGCTGACACCTGAGCAACGGGTAGACAAGATCTTCAGTAAGATGGATAAGAACAAAGACGACCAGATCACACTGGATGAATTCAAAGAAGCTGCAAAGAGTGATCCTTCCATTGTATTACTCCTGCAGTGTGACATTCAAAAATGAGCTTGTGTACAACGCGTCATAGACTGCACAGAAGTTTAATGTTCCATTCAGTTTGCAGCTATTTCCACACACACAAAAATTTGCTTGGACTACCTATAAATGGACTTGCTTCTTGTGTTTGAAACACTTGTGTGCATGAGAATGTCATTTGCTAAAGAATTTTAAAAGTATATATTATAAAAATAAACTGCCACAACGTGATGTGTGCAATGTCATTTCATAACAACCCTATTCCTCTGAAGCCTGTGCAGCAGTCCTGTGCTGCAGTGAATTATATTATTTATTGTTCATGTTTTACTGATGCTAGCTCTGTGTCTCCTAGACTGAGTAATGTTAGTGACACTGAATTCCCATGGTAATGTTAACTGTTTATTATAAATCATGTCATCATTCTGCTGTAAAGTAGTACTGGACAGACAGAGGGGAAGAGTTCCTCAGCTCTTAAGTCTGATCCACACATGTGCTTGTATTGTCAGTGGATATAAATGTACTTCATTTGCATG